CTGGCGAGAGCAGCCAGACGCGCCGCGGAGCTATACCGCGGCCCACCCCGTGTCACCCGCAGCCGCTGGACCCCCACAGGCGCATTCCGACGCACACGAAGACCACGTGCGGGAGAACGCGACGCAAAGGGAGGGGGAGGGTCGCCAAAACGCTGCTGGCCAGACGGGGGCACAAACGACTGGCGGGGAAGCATTGTCCCCCCGCTCCGCGCCAAGGACCCCCCAGGATACGCATCGCCAGCCACGGCAGGAGCTCCCCAGTACTCGCCCTGCCGCTGTACAGACAGGAGCAGCTCCATCTCCAACTCCATTGCGACGACCTGCACTAAGAGGGAGAGATGGGGCGGAGGAGGCGGAGGATGCGAGGCTGTTGAACGACGGTGCCGAGCCTGACAGACGCGTAGATAACGACCCTAGCGAGCCTAGGGGTAACAACGCCACAACCCCGCGCCCGCCAGCACAAACAACCCCAGAGGACACCTCGGCGATTGGCACTGCGCCTGCAACCGTAACCGGAGGACCAGAGCAGCTCCGGACACTAGGCGCGGGAAACACTACCGCGAGGCGAGAGGGGCGAACAGGTAGGCCCGTGCGACGGCGCAGAACCGGGGGAAATGTCGGGGGGCGGAGGTCCACGCGGAGAAGGCCAATCTCGCGCACGGGGGACTGGAGAGCAAGGCACGGAAGACCCGAGCAAACTGCGGAGCGAGTAACAGAGGATGAGTCTGAGTGGGAGGAAGGGGACGCATATGTACCTGGCAACTCGGAAGAACCAGGCGCGGAGGGGATTTCCGACGGGGCATCAGAGGAAAATGCGAACAGAGGGGGGAGGAGGAGGAGAGGTTGCCGAGGCGCGAATGTGCCGGAAGTGATCGCCCCGCCAGCCAATAGCGACACGAGTCAGCTGCAGCAGCGGAAAATCCGATCACCAGAATCCCTAGCCCGGGACGAAAGTTTATGGCAAGCAGCCATTGGTTGGGATTTGGAGCCCCTGCGGGACTCACGGCAGCCCTACCTGGCAAGATATCTGCCCCCCAAAATTCTGGAGATTTTCGCGGACTGTCTGCTGGTTCCCCTCCAACGCATCAAAACATGCCCTGATTGCCCGGGGGGATGGATCGTGCTGACATTCCTGCCCCGCCTAACACTTAGGCCTGGACCTGCTTCGGAACAGAGGTGGGGTGCGATCGAGCGCCAACTTCAGGGGTTTCGTGAGGGGCAGTGGCAAGAGCTGTACACGGGCAGCAGGGACAACGCGACCATCACCCCGACTGCCCGCCACGCACAGGACGCAGCCGGACTCCGGGCTCGGGCCGAGGGGCTGGTCCAGAAAACGAACCTGCGTAAGGCACTATCGGCGTTACAACCTCTACCAATCGCACCGACAAACGCTACCACGCTCGCAAGCCTGCGCGAAAAACACCCCCAGGCGGAGGGCGACATTCCAGCGCACCTGCGAGGGGCAACCGACAGTACACTCCAAATCGGACATGCTGCATTTCGAAAAGTGCTGGGAAAATGCCAGCGTGGCATCGGGGGTGGGCCCTCGGGCATGTGCTTCGAGCACCTGCGTTATCCGGCACTCTCCAACCCCCAGGTTCTGAACCTTCTGCTTCATGACGTCAACCTGGTGATTGGAGGCAGAGTGTCGCCAAGCATACGCCAACTACTGCTGCCCGGCAAATTAATTGCTCTACGCAAGCCGGGCGGAGGAGTCCGGCCAATAGCCATTGGGGAAGCCTTCCTGCGTGTGGTGGCAAAGGCAGCACTACAGGAATCGGCGACGGCAGTTCGCGCGTTCTTCCTGCCATACCAATTCGGCGTGGCGGTCTCAGGGGGAGCGGAGTGCGTAATCCACGTAGTGCGAACACTGCTGCAAGCCTTCCCTGGGCACATCGTCCTTCAGCTGGACATCGCCAACGCATTCAACAGTGTGCATCGCCACTACCTCCTCCAGGCCCTGCAGTGGAGCCCGCTTGCACCTCTCATGCCACTCGCACTCACCCTCTACGGCACACCGGCACCCCTCCTCCTGGATGCCGCCTTCCCCAGCACCACGATCACAAGCAGCAGGGGGGTCCGCCAAGGGGACCCACTGAGTCCCCTCCTCTTCGCCACTGCCATCCAGCCCGTCCTAGCGGAAGTGGCAAACCGGTTCCCGGAGGTTGCTGTCCTGGCATACGCGGATGACATCACCATCGTCGGCCCACCTGCAGCGGCGGCCCGGGCCTTCAAGCTCCTACAAACAGGCCTACAGGACTGCGGCCTGCAGTGCTCCCTCGCAAAATCAGTGGGCTGGTCCCCTACCACGGAAAGCCTCAACCAACTCCCGCAAGGGGTGACACGGGCGGAGGACGGGCTCCGTATCCTCGGGAGCCCCGTCGGCGGGACGGAGTTCGGCAGAGCCCACCTGCAGGAAGAACTGGCCAAGGCAGCAAGTCCCCTACCCCAGTTGGCGGAGCTCCACCCCCAGCACTCTCTTCTCCTCCTCTCCCGATGCGTCTCACGGCGGGCCTCCTTCCTCCTGCGCTCCACCCCGACCGACCAACTGCCTATGGAACACTGGAGGGACTGGAGTGAAAGCTTGGTGCGGACAGCCCTGGCAGCAGCCAACATTCAAGCACCAAGGGGCGAGCTGGAGTGGAGCCTCACCTGGCGACAAGCGACGCTGCCAGTCGTCCTCGGAGGCCTCGGCATCGCCGACCCCACCTCGGAAGCCACGGCTGCATACCTGGCCTCCACGATAGCAGCGGCACGCCTCCTGGCCGACATGCACCTACCGGACGGTCTCCTCCGAGAGGCACAACACCTACTGGGAGCTGGAGGGGAAGGCGACCTGCCACTTCACTCTACAGTGCGGGACATGGAATCCCGTCTGCCTGAGGCGGCTAGGCTGACCCTGGCGGAGGCCAGAAATTCACCCATGAAGGGCCCCCTCCAACACCAACTCAGCCTCGACATCAACACACAGCGAGCGGAGGAACTCTTCGCAGACACACTGCTGGACCGCCCCGGCCTGGAGAACGCCCACGGCACTCGCCTAACTAGCCTACGCGGCACGGGGGCCGGCGACTGGCTGCTGGCCATCCCCTCCCAACCAGACCTCTGCCTGTCCCCAGCCCAGTTTGGTACGGCCCTGGCTTTCCGCCTTGGCCTGCCCCACTCGGTCCCGGGCGGCTGCTCCTGTCGGCGCGCTGAGATCACGGACCCAAGCCTCCCTAACCACATCCTTCGCTGTAACGAGGGCGGTTACCCAAAAAACCTCCACAACTCCCTCGTGTACGCGACGCTACGCATGGCACGCGAAGCAAAGTTCAGCGTGTACCATGAGACCATCCAGTTCACAACGCCAACCAACAGGAAGAGGGCAGACCTGGCAGTCCGGGACTGCGAGAGTCGGGCAACGTGGGTGACGGACGTCACAGTCACCGACCCGGTGCTCCAGCGCCGGGACCTTGACGCCGGGGGCCTCCCAGGGTGGGCGGCAAGGGAAGCAGCTCGAGCAAAGGAGAGGGACTACGAGGACCGGCCAGCCTGGGTGGGCTTCTATGCCTTGGCAGTGGAGACCTATGGGGCACTAGCTCCGTCCACCGCACACTTCCTCAAGCTGCTGGCCGACCACGCAGCTTTGATGCGGTTCCGGGCCAACCCTCTGACCACGCCGGCCAAGAAGCTGCTCTCCCACTACCAGCAGCGGTGGTCAGTGCTCCTGCAGCGGCTACAGGCGGACACGCTCATTATCCGCAGCGGGATGGCTCTGGATGCTGCCTATCCCCAGCCCAGGACAGACCCCTGGGCACCTCACCTAGGGGATGTCTACGACACCATAGACCTGGAAATGTCCTAGAGGCGGGATGGGGAGCCTGGGCTGGGGTGGGCTATGCGGTAATGTGTAGTTCTATACCCTAGGGTGGCTTGGCCTTTGTGCAGTTTGTACCCAGGTTCCATCAATGAGCAGGACCGCTTGAGTGAGAGAGAGAGAGAGAGAGAGAGAGAGAGAGAGAGAGAGAGAGAGAGAGAGAGAGAGAGAGAGAGAGAGAGAGAGAGAGAGAGAGAGAGATAGAAAGAGAGAGAGAGAGAGAGAGAGAGAGAGAGAGAGAGAGAGAGAGAGAGAGAGAGAGAGAGAGAGAGAGAGAGAGAGGGAGAGATAAAGAGAGAGAGAGGGAGAGAGAAAGAGAGAGAGAGAGAGAGAGAGAGAGAGAGAGAGAGAGAGAGAGAGAGAGAGAGAGAGAGAGAGAGAGAGAGAGAGAGAGAGAGGACCTTTTGACCCTTCGCCAAATTTAGGGCTAGCGTGCGTTGGGGGATTTGTGAGGGGATTGTTTGGCCCTTTGCACATTTTAGGGATAGCGTGTGTTGGGAGATTTGTGAGGGGATTGTTTGGCCCTTGGCACCTTTTTAGGGCTAGCGTGTGTTGGGATTTGGGAGGGGATTGTTTGGCCTTTCACACATTTTTAGGGCTAGCGTGTGTTGCGCTGTGTGAGGACTTATTGGCCCTTCACCAAATTTAGGGCCCAATGTTTGCCTTGGGGCTTTGTGAGGCCGAGATTTCCTCCTCCTGCCCCTGCAATCTTGCTCAGCTATGCGATTGGATTGATCGGCCAAATTTGATCAGCCGGGGCTTCCTGAAAGTGTCGCCGCAAAATTGATGGCCTCAGCATCATCATGATTCGCACGGGAATCCTCCCTCCCTCCATTCCCCCCCCCACTCCATCCCGTCCCGTCCCTGCCCTCCCCGAATGCCGTTCTGCCCATCTCCCACTTTCGTCAAATCAGCGTGAAATTCTGACATACCCCTGATTACTCAGCGGATTTTTTTTTTGGGAGGTCTGAAAAATCAGGATAAAGATGTGGGGGGAACCCTGAGCAATCAGGGTACCTTAAAACCGATCTGAGGCCCTGGTATACACCTGTCCTATATGAGAGCTTCCTTTTTCCACGAAGACATGATTTGTACTATAAGCATTTGCCTTCTCTGTGAATCCAAAGAACCATTCTGAATCTGGAACAAATGACCTCTGCTCTTGCCCTTGCTGCTGCTACTCCTGCAATTCCTGGTGCGTCTGCTGCTGCTGTTACTCCTGCAGTTCCTGGTGCGCCTGCTGCTGCTGCTGCTGCTGCTGCCTGCTCATGGGACTGCTTACATGCATTTCACCAATGCCAGTGCCTCTATTATCCACAATGTTTCTTTTGTGGGACAACGTAAAGCCCTGGCAGAGTGTCAGCCTGTCATGCTCATAGGCATTAAGGTTCAAGTCAGGAACGAGGGCTCGAGCACCAGGTGGCCTTTTTCAGGAGGAACAGTCAGCCATGGACTGGCCCTTATGAATGCCTGGAGCATCCACGTCATACTGTATTGCATCGCCAAGTTGAACCGGCTTTGCAGAAAAACGTTTTATCCCCATCAAATCCTTGTGCTGAACATAAGCCGGCCAGCTCCACCACTCCCTGCACTTAGAAGTGTCTGCAGCAAAGCTCTGTTGTGTTCTGAGCATCTGCCTCAATTCCTAGTACAGCAGCAGCAGCTGCAGCAGCAGCAGCAGCAGCAGCAGCAGCAGCAGCAGCAGCAGCAGCAGCAGCTGCAGCAGCAGCAGCAGCAGCAGCAGCAGCAGCAGCAGCAGCAGCAGCAGCAGCAGCAGCAGCAACAGCTCCTGCAGCCACACGTCCACCAACATGTGGTGACAATGCAACACGCATTGCTGCAGCAGTCAACGCAGAGACCACTTAGCAGCACGTGCGCCCCTTAATCAAGCTGGGGTCAGCAAAGGCGCAAGAACTAGCTGGGGTCAGACAGCGGCTCTTCAATGGGGGCTCACCTATCCAAAGGAGAGATGTCATTCCAGAATCCTGCGCCTGCATGCGATGTGGTTTGCAGCATCGCCACTATTGTCACCTTTATGGCGATCAATTTTGCGATCTAGCTTCTTCACTACTACACTTGTTGTGTGCTCTCTAACTATCTCCTTGACCCAGCTATTGCGCGGCGCCATCACCTCCACCTGGCTACCCACCTCGGTCTAATGATAACTTGAGGGCCCTAGATTGCTGCTGCTGCTGCTGCAAGGTTGCCAGGCTGCTGCAAGGCCGTGTGATGATGCCGGTTTCTCCAAGCCCTTGGTTTCGGCTAGGTCACGTAGACGTGAAGGATAGCCTATGGACTTGCCCTGAGATGATCAGGGGTTTCAAGAGGGAATTAACTGGGGCTCAGGTGACGTGCTGTGCTGCTATCACACGGCAAAGCAGAGGACTAAAGCAGACTCGGCCTTGTTTTTGAGGTACCAAGCGAACAGGAAGTCTGGATGAAGAATGAAAATGAAACTTTGTAAACACATGCCGGAAACTCGGAACTTTTTGGAAGGCCGTGTGCTGGACTGCGGAACTTGAACCTTAGTAGCCTACTAGCAGGAGTACATTCAGCAGGTGCCATCGTAGCTGCTACTACAGTAGCTGGGTAGCCTAGCTACTACGACTACCACGACGTGTTGCGTGTTAGTAGTGTTACTGCATGGCACCCAACGGTTTTGGCCAAACTCATCATGCTCACGAGCTTTGTTCTGCCCCTGTAAATCCCAAAGAGACTGCTCAAATGCTACGTAAGCTCTCACAACGAAGGGCCTTCAAGTCGAAGTGGAAGGTCCCCAGCGGAAAGGAGTAGGGCCCCAGGGGATTCCCATGATCTTCCCCTTAGTTAGCAAAAGAGCTGAGGTAACTCGACGGGTTCATGCTCTGGTTTCCATCCACGTGGCCTTCACCACGTGACCACATCTGCCACATGTTCCCGTTCCCCCAACCGGCGGCAGCATTCCTAGAAAGACTGGTGAAAGGTCAGTTGGAGCGGTTAAGTACGACAGCTGTTGCCGCGAAGGAAGAATCTACTACCGTATGAGAGCCCATTTTCTAGAAAATTCTGAGTAGTTATTGTGACGTTATGGAAAGATCCTTGATCGTATACTACCCGTTATCCCCCTTGCCAAGGGTGTGCGGAGTAGGGCTTACCTTTGGGTTTTCGTCCACACGGCAGATCTGGGTATCTCTTTCGTCGGACCCGGATAAAACAGGTGTATGTGAAACCTACCCGTCGATGTCCAGGTGGGAGAAAAACAACACTTCAGTCCCTGGATTTTTTCTGTGATGACAAACGCTCTTACGGAAAGTTCTTGGATTCTATAAACAGAACCACGTAAGAGTACTCCGCTCCACTCTTATACTGTGATTCCACCTCTAGAACTTCCTTACTAGGGCTGATTTGCTGTGGGGAGACGGAATGGTGGGGGGATCGGTGGGGTGGTATGAGAAGTTATAGTATCCATGTTTGCCAAAACCTATCACGTCACTTCACGGATTCTGGTGAAAATGTACCGATCAAAATCCCGGTTCATGAAAATGGAACACGTCGCAATCCAATTTCGGCCCCGTAATTTTGTCAAAATCTAGGTAGTTACCCATGAAAGATAAGCCCCTGGTGCGGAGTGCTAGCTTCAGTAAAAGGTGGTGATTGTGCTTGCTTGTCCTCAGTCGGCTCGGAAGCAGATGTACAGCCGACGTGTACTATAGTAGCCACTGGGGATGAGCATAGGGTTGTCAACTTATACTGTACATTTGCCGTGCATGTTTAGTTACATGCTAGACATGTTCATGACGTGGAGCTGCGAGGGCCGCCTCCGCGGCCACCACCACCAAAGATGTCTGGCCACCACGGCGTTTCTTGTCCCGGCTTGCATCGCGTCGTCTCACCGTTTCTTTCATTCGCGTGATGCCACTTTTGACATGTCAGTCTCCTTCTACACGCGCTTCCCCCACTGAGGAATCCCTGGCACCCCACCCCTGTTCCTTGTCCCCACTCCCTCGGTAGCTCTTGCTCCTTGTCCTGCTCCATCTAGTGTGTCTCACATCACTCCCTTTCCTTCGGTTGGCCCGATGGAGGAGCCTGCTGACTTTGGGGGCCCCGAGGCTCAGGGTGAGCTGCCTGCTTCTGCGACGCCTGTGCCCTTGGCCTCAGTGCCTCCTCCGCTGCCAAAGCAGCAGCAGTCGTAGTAGCAGCCACCGCAGAGCAGCAGCAGCAGCCGCCGCAGCTGCAGAGGTCAGTGGGCTCTGGGGGTGTTCGAGCTGGGGGCTCTGAGGAGGTTTCTAGCTCTGGGGATGCTAGTCCTGGGGGTTCTGTCTTGGCGAGTCATGGAGGTAGCCGTGGTGCGGCTTGAGGTCCTGGTGTGGGCGTGCAACAGCTGCAGATGCCGCACTCACCGCCAGTGTTCGCCCTTCGCCTTCTCGGTCTTCCCTCCCCTGACCGCCCGTCCGCGCCTCCCCCGACCCCGCCTCCTCCTCCTATCTACGGCCTGGTGTTCCCTCCGCCGGACTCATCCCCGGCTTGTTTTCCCCCTCGTTCTCCTCCTGTGTCTCCTCCTTCATCCCCTTACCCTACGCCCCCCTCTTGCTGGTGCTCTCACCGTCCCTCTCGTGCTCATCCCGTCTCTCCCGCTCTGAGTGTCCACCCTATGTTTCTCCGATCTCACGTGTCTCGTGCCCCTCCCACTCATGTTCTCCCGTCGCCTCCTCAGTCATCCCTCTCTGTCTCCTCACCTCCTCTCTCTGATTTCGTCCGTGCTGCTCGCCCTCTTGTTCCTCGTGTCCTAGCCTCTCTTGTTACTGACCCATCTGTTCTTGTCTCTAGTCTCTCGGCTCTTGTTGCTGTCGTCGCTGAATTTTGCCACTACGTGCCGCCTTGACAACGCCACTAGGTATGAGAAACATTGTTATGAAGTTTGGTCTCTGTGCTTGGAACTATTGCACGGATGTACTTATGGTATATCTTTTGGGGTATGAGTTTAATCCAATGTACTCTACGGGAGTTTTGTGTTGTGAACACATCCACTATGTGCCCCTCCCAAATCGTATCACCATTAAGCATTAAGGCTAATGTATAAACATACGGACAATTGTTTCCGTCACTGTAGTAGTGCCTCCCTGAGTTACTGTTGTTTAGTTTGTACTCTTGCTGACTGGTCTTCGTACCCTTGCCTCAGAGGTTGGACTAGTAGTGCCGCCTTGAGCAACATGTTTCTTGTTAAGCACTGCCACTTACATAGCCTAGGGGGTGTGTCAGCTTATACATTTGCTATGCATGTTTAGTTATAGGCTAGACAAGTTTGTGCTCTTAGAGAGTACAACACGAAACCCTTATATCACCCTGTATGCTCTTGCTAGAGTTTACTTAGTCATTCTGAGAAGGTTTTGGTTCCATCGCTTTGGCGAATTTATCCGCTCAACTTCTGGATAGAATCGGTCTTGTTCGATCGACTTGTTCGGAATCGGCTACATGAAGCTCCATTGCACAGTAAAATAGGTTTTGGATCGATCGCTTTCGTGACATAGGCTGGGTGAGGCTCCGTTGGTCGCTAAGCATTGGGATCTCTACAGCAGTTTATCTACTCGGTCTGCCAGGTTCCGTCAACTTTGGGAGGGACCCCTGAGGCTCGAATGCCTACCGAGTCTGGTCGGGTCGCCTTGGGATCCGCTACAGGAAACTAATTTGCCCAGAAAATTGTAACATTAGTTGATTGGCCCCATTGCCCCCTCAAGGATGAAGATAATTGATGGGTAGTCTTTCAAGGGATGTTATATATTCAGGTGTCCTTAGCCAATATTGCAGGTTTAAAGGATATATTTCAGGAAACCCGCTTCGAGATTTCAAGTTCTTCCCACAACCCTAGCCATTAAGCTATGCGACAGTTAAAGCAGTCAGATCCCCTCACCCAAACATGTGCCGAATCCCGCCCCAGATGAAGCAATACTTATCTTTCCACATCGAGCCTTTTCCAGTTGTGACAAGCCCATTTTAGGTACATGATTGGGAGAAGTGTTGTCTACATGGCCTCAGTTAGGGATTTTATGCATCCTGACCAATCAGGGCGGGCCCCCCAAAAAACGTGTTGCAGTCAGGGCTAGTCGCTTATGTTCATATTGATTCCTCAGGGTGGCTCCCAAGCTCTATACTGTGGCATCAGGGTAAATTCGGAAACGCTGGAAATCTTATGAAGTCGCTTTAAACAACAACATCACACTTACAGGGTGTCAGCGCTTCATGTGTTGCACTGGGTTGAGGAATTGACCGCGATTGGCCTAGTTTGCGTCAACAGCACAGCACGGGGCGAATGGGATTTCCGTAAAATTACTTCGTCCGACTGTCAGACAGGATTTTGCTGAGAGCATGAGCTTTCAAATGAAAACGAATGCAGCCCCAGAAAATTCAGACGAAGTCGAAGGCCATTTGGCCCATGAAAAGAAACGAAAAGCTGCGTGACGATTTCGCCATTAGATCCTCATCGAGCGGTTAGGACAACCAGTTTGATGAGGTAGGATTGGATGTTGAAGTACTCTGACGGGATTTTGATTTGAATTTTAGGGTTGCGTAGGGGTTGTGGAGGAATACCTCTGGCAGCAAGGATTTCGCCGATATTTTCTAGGAGGGGGTTGGGAGGGGGGGGAGAGAGGGGGAGGAGGAGGGGGGGGGGAGGGTTGTCTCTAGCATTGATGACTTCACAAAAAATCCAGATCAGCAGGGGGTTTTGGAGGATTGTCTGTAGCGTTCAGGACATAGCTGAACTTTTTGAGCAGCTCGGGGGGTTTGGAAGATTGTCTCTAGCATTCATGACTTAACTGAATTTCGAAGAGTAGTGGGGGATTTCGGAGGATTGTCACTAACATTGAGGACTTAGCCGAAATGATTTTGGGCGGAGAAAATTAAGGGGTACCCTAGAGGCGCACGTGCATTTTGC